TGTGAATCAACAGCCCACAAATCAAACATTAAATTGATAAAAACATTAATTTAAAGTCGAGAAAAGCATGTTTTGTTCTGCCTAAGGCTGCTTCTTTGTAAGCAATCTCATGTTCCTTCTCGTCTTTGCTGACCAATGTGGGTGGCCCTCATAAAATTGTGCTCAACAAAGGTTAAAAACTTAAAAACCCTCATTGACTAAACTCTATTCTACACGAAATCTCCCTTTCAATTTCATTTGATGTTAATCACTACGATCCATTGTTGAGTTTGAGCATTTTTAGGCCATGGTTGCTGGTCAAGATATAATTGGAATGTAGAAAACAATGTCCTTAAATCATATTTATATACAAAGTAGTACCAGAATTTTATTTTTTTTTTAAAGTGATGTTATTATTAATAGTCTCACTTGGGAGACAGACGCTACGCTGCAAAGGTTGATAAAAACAAAAATAGTCCTTGGTGTAAGGATTGTCAATATATCATATGGTTTCTTATATGCAAACAATAAGGATTGTCAATATCCTAGTTGGTTTGATGTGTTTCCTGGTATGTTGAGTTCTGAAAAGAAGTCTTCTGCTTTGACGAGCTTTGGATCCTTACAGAACTTACCGTTAACAAACACTGCATTAAAATGATAGAAACGTGAGTTGATGTACATCATGCATTGCAAAAGCATAGAGATTTTAATCAGGGGTATAGTTTGTTTCCAAATTCTGGTTATTTGCAGAATATCTTTAATTTAGAGTTTGACATTGATTTCAATACTTCCAAACAAAAATAAAGGGAGAACATACTACCATTTTGGGCGTCCTTGAGGGCTACACAAAAGTCCTGAAGAGGGCTAGGCAAATGAGAAAGCCAGAACCAACAGGGAAATTGGTACAAGGATTTTAAAACCTTCCATTGCAAACAAGGCAGCTTTCTCGCTCAGAAACTTCCAAGTTTTAATGCTTGGTGAGAGGTGAGAAATGTTGATTGAAGAACTTGCTCATTTATGGTTGGGAGTCGTTGAACTAGTCTCATCTTGTTCTTTATTAAAATTTCTTCCCAAGAAGCAGATGTAACACTTACCAAGTCTAGAGTCATCTTTTTCCTGCTATTTTCTGCATATACCTCGTGGAGTTCCCTCTTCCTATGCTTCACTTCATTGACTTGAGCACAGTTCTGAAGTTGCAATGGGAAGCCAGCGCTGCGGGCAATGAACTTACAATTGAAATTAAGTTGACAATGGTTATTGGTTAATGTTGCCATCCTCTAAAATTCTATATAAATATTGGAGTAGTTCACATATGAAGCTTCTTTCATCGACACATGGCATTTAAAAGGACTGTTACTGAGTCTTCCATACCTCCTATTCTAGTTCAATTCAATCTAATTAACCAACTCGCTTTAATATGGTGCTTTCTGGATGAAAATATTTTATCTCCCAAGTCTGTTCGCAACATCAGTAACACTTAGCTTATTGTAATTTGAAACTGTATATGATTCGCCTTCAGTCTGAAATAGCAGAAAGAACATGCCGGGCTTGTGCCCAGAGTTACATTACCTTCGTACTCAAATTACTACTCAAAATAGGTCTGGTAATCTTCACATTGAACTCGAAATCTTAAGACTTGTATTGGGTGGGGTGCGCCAGGCCCGAGCAGTAGTGCAACACTTGGGCGACGCACGAGAA